AACAGACCAATTACGTACATAAGATTAGCAACGGAACAGGGAGATGAGATACGTACATTAGACAAAACAACAGCCTCATATAGGACTAATTACCATATTAATGTTTCAACAGGAAGAGACAATCTTGGATTGTCAGACAAAAGCAGCAGGGCAATAACAATCAGCCATATCTAAATACTGGAAGAAATAAAGTAACAAACCTCACCGGTTGATGGTGCATGCATGAAGAAGTGAAGATACAGAAGAGACGAGGCGGAACTCAAGCTGGGCCTGCTCGTCAGCCGCGTGCTGACATTGTCATTGTCTATTTGGTAGTGCTGTAAATAAGCCGAGCTGAGCCGAATCCTAAAGGTGCTCGGGCTCGACCACTGCTCCATTTTATCAAACTCAGGCTCGGTACGATCGAGCTTTATCTAGCTGAAGCTCGTGCTTAACTTAAATTGAGTTAGGTTTAAGTACCATTTTGGTCCTTCAACTTGTCATTTTGGTACCAAAATTGTTCCTTAACTTTAAAAAGCACCAAAATTATCCTCAGACTTTCATTTTCGATACTAAAATGGTCATTCCGTCAGTTAAATGACAGGTGGCTCGTTAAAATGCCACAAAATCATTAAACTTTTTGAATCTTAATGACGTGTAAATCCAACTATGAAAATTTTGTTACCATATGGCATGTTTTTTTTTGTACACGTCACATATTTTTTTACACATCATATTATCACCTTTTAAACTTTCCCTTTTAATGGGGCCCACATGACTTTTTTTTAACTTTTCTTCTCCTCTCTTCCCCTCTTCTTCTTCCTCTCCAGATCTGGGTTCGATCAAACTTGCAGAGAAAATATTAAAATTCATCTTCCATTGGTAATATACATAAATTAATATCCCACCAGATTGGCAAAATCCCCCTTCTCTCTCTCCCCCCCATCTCCTGCTTCTGATCGTCTTCTCCGGCATCTCGTTGTTTTTGTGCTCGAAAGCCTTGGGCTTCTGAGTTTTGCTGCTTGAGCCACCGGGTTCTCCGGCTGCTCAAGCCTGATGGAGCCGGCCTGCTCCCTGCTCCGATGACCCCATGAGGTCTGTCGGCGACTAGGCCCTTCGGGTGCCTTTTTTGGGTTTTTGTTTTCTTTGTTTCCTGTTTCCGTGTGTTGCCTGCTTGCATGCAGGTCTCACAGCTCCTTGTTCCCTCACGCAAATCTACCCAGCTGCATGATGGAATTCGTAGATCTGGCGGCCATCGCCCAGATCTGGTCTTCGCCTACACGATTTGTTCTGTTTTTTCAAACTATTGTGGTTGATTTTTGGTCCTGATTTTGCTATTGTTCTTTGTCTTGATGGAACTGGAACTAGAATTTTTGGTTCTCTTTAAACCAGTGCTCGCTGGTTTCTGTGTTGATTTCATCGGCATTTTAGGTTTTGGTTTGCTACATATCGAGTCTTCGGTGGTTCAATACTGTTTCTTTTTGATTTATTTGCATCCATGTGAGTTGACTTGGTTTGATGAAATTCGAATATGTATTTGAGGTTTTTTTTTGGACTGTGATTTAGTTTCTCTTTGTTGCATTTCAATGGTGTCAGAGGAGTCATTTGGGTTTGAGAAAAACCTAGATTTGGGTTTGATTTGGAGAGGAAGAGGAAGGGACAAGAGAGAGAGAAAGTGAAAGAGGAAGAAGAGATGACATGGAGGTTTTATTGGTAGACTGTGATTTAGTTTCTCTTTTGTTGCATTTTAGTGGTATCGAAGGAGTTATTTGAGTTTAAGAAAAACCCAGATCTGGGTTTGATTTGGAGAGGAAGAAGAAGCGACAAGAGAGAGAAAGTGAAAGAAGAAGAAGAGATGACATGGATGGAAAAAAAATTTATTATTTTTAAATAAAATAAAATAAAATGCCAACTCATAAAAAAAGGGTACCATGTCATTAGTTAAGAAAAAAAAATTGATTGGCTGACAAGTTAACGTGCCATCTGTCCATTTAACTGACGGAAGGATGGTTTTGGTACCAAAAATGAAAGTTTAAGGATAATTTTGGTACTTTTTAAAGGTGAGGGACAATTTTGGTGTCAAAGTGACAAGTTGAGGGACCAAAATGGTACTTAAACCATTGAGTTATGGTTATTACTATTATTAATTTTGTTAGAATCATTAAAATTATTAAAATTTTATCTTAATTTAATTACTAAAAATAATAGTAATTGATAAATTTATTAATATTTATATCTAATATATTAAAATTAATTTATAAATAAATGTTTTCAAATATAATAATTAATCAACTATTTAAAAGAAAATTTATAAACAAATAAAATTACAAGTAAAATTAGTATATCCTTAAAAAAATTAGTGGTATAACCTCAGCCCAAATAACCCAACTTTGTAATTTGCCTATAAAAATTGATGCTATTAAGTATTTGCGTTGGCTAATGAGCGTACTATTAGATTAAGGCTACTTTGATATTGCACTTGGGGTTTTTTTCGTGTAGCCATATAATACTTTTACATAAATGTGTGATGTAATTGCACCAAACTAGAGATTCTTCTTTAGTGCGTGCTTTCACTTTGGATGAACCTATAAAGCCTCAAAGTGGGTTCTTAGGGTAGATATTCCAATACTTAAATCAGTAATAATCGGATCTACCTCTAAACTAATGAAAAAAGGAGCTTTAAGTTGGTTTCAATTACCTTTTTGAGGTGGCCCTTTAGGGTATTTATTGGTCTTTGTGAAGTGTCCACGTGGCTTACTTAACAGGATAATCGGAGTATGGCGTGTCCCTTCAGGCAGTAATTTCAGGACCGGAAAATTGTGTGTGATAAATTAGGTGTGGGCAAGTCCATTGTATTTATCATGTAGCTATTTGACCGGAAAGTGCTGGATTTAACTTCACTTCAGCTATTAAAGAATTGTTATAGTACGTTCGACGTCAAGGACTTCGGACCTATCCTTACATGTGTGTTTAGTAATTTTTTTTCTAAACTATTTTTTCTAAAAGTTGCAGAAAGTTACTATAAATTTATAGTAATTTTATATATAAATCAAGAAATCTCATTTTGGAACTTTGTAACCGTGGCTTTTATGAGAAATACATAATTTTAATATAATTGTAAAATTATCCATTAAAACCCAATTTTATATAATTTAATTACATCATAATTTATAATATTTTAATGATGATAACAAATTTAAAAAACTTAAATTATTAAAAAAATAAATATTATTTATTTTAATAATTATATATTTTACAATATTTTTAAAATTTTAATTAATAATTAATAAAATTTATTATACTTCATCCATAATACTTTTAAAAATAAATAACTAAACATCAAAATAACTTTCAACTACAGTTGCAGCACAGCACCATACAGTTACAACATTTCACAGTAATTCCAAATACACCCTAAGGCACTTGGTAAATTTCTTTCTTCGACAAATGACTATGTATTTGGTATTTAGTAAAATTTTTTATTTAGTTAGAGTTCAATCTGCTAACAAATTAAAAAACTTTTGAAAGTAATTTTTTGTCCAAAATCACTAGTGAATTAAAAATTTTAAATTAGTATAATAAATTTACCCAAGGTTAAATCCTAAATTTAGTCCCTCAACTTTAAGAAATGCACATTTTTTATCCCTCAACAATTTTTTGCACTTTTTTGATCCCTCAACTTTAAGAAATGCACATCGTTAATCATTCCGTTAATTTGGGCTGTTAACTCCACCCATGTAGCATTTTTTATATTTTTTTTGATGATGTGAAGAGCAAAATTTAAGAAAGTGATGATATGGATAAAACGTTTTGCTATGTTATGTTACCGTGACTCAAAGGTGCCAAATCCACTCAAATGGGCTCCACATCACCAATAAAGAAAGATGTCTTTTGATGACATGGCAAATTACGTAATATTTTTTATATTTTTTTAATAATGTAACAAATTAAATTAAATTTAAATGTTTATATGAATAAAAAATAATATCAAATCAAATTTCATTAATTAATCATCATTAAACTATAATTATTTATATTAATCAAAATTGAAATTCTAAATTAATTTATAATTAAATTACAATTTTCTCATCAAATGTCTTTCTCGATAACCAAACAAATTCAAAACATTTTCTAAGCATTCAAAACATTTTCTCAGCATTCAAACACCCAAACTATACAATTTTCTAGCCAAACAAATGGAAACCCACTAAGAATTGCTTCTTTGCCCACTACAAGAACAATCACATTTAATGACTAATTTATTGGTCATTAAACCTTTATTTTCCGTCACAAAATAGAATTAGTGATAAAATTTAAATCGTTAGTAAAATCGTTATCACTAATGCTCTTAGTGACGAATTTAGCACCTATCACAGAAAAAAATTTTACAGTGATAGAAAAAATCAACATTATTAATAAGTTTTTTGTAACAATTTTATTCATTATAAAAATCACTTTTTATTACAAAAATTTTTGTCACAAAAGTTACAACTGAGTAACAAAAAAATTGTCACAAATGCAATTAAATATCTCTAACGAAATATTTGGCTATTAATTATTTAAACCAATATTGAACCGAAAGGGGTATTTATGTAATTACAACATATATTTGTGACGAAAAATCTCTTCACAAAAATAGTTAATAAAACATCAATGAATAAGTTTGTCACAAAAATTCTATTTCAAAATTAAAAGGGAAAAAAAAAACACCTTTTCCTCTAATCTACGGTTGAAAATAATTTTTCAATTAAAAAAATAATTTTGTCAAATTTATAACAAAATACCTTAAAGATAATTAATTTTTAAATAGAAATTTGTTAAGTTTGTAATTTTTTGACGGTAAAGGAAATATTAAAGTAAAATGATCAGTTGATAATTTTAATAATACTAAATTATTACAAAATAAAATCAAGTAAAAATACAAGCCAAGAAAAATAATGAAATACAAAAAAATAATAATAATAAAATACAAGTCACAATATGGTTGCTAGTCATGTCCACTTCCTTTTCTCTCGTGAAGGATCAAATACACAAGACAAAAGCAAATTGCAGCATGTGCTATGCTCATTCCTTGTGTTTTCCTTCTTGCGGGTTTGGAGGAAGCCAATCCTTGCGCACCTTCTCTCTCGATCGTTTCTTGGCCAAAACCTCCCGCCATCTATTCATGGTATTGGTTAAGATTAATTTTATAATCTTTAAGTTATCAATTGGAAATAAAAATGATCAATATATATACTGAAAAAATATAGTAGAAAAATGTACATGAAGGATTTGAAATAAAAAAGAAAAAAAATAAAAAGAGTGTTAAAAGAGTAAAATTTTTTTTTTTTGATTAGCGAAGAAAAGTGAATTTTTTATTAAGGGTGACATTATACAAAGAACACTCTAGTGACTCTTCATACCTGCATTAGTGCAGTTGTTCTCCCCTTCCATATAACAAATTCAATAAAATCATTGTCACAATTGAACGTCCATCACAAATTTAAGTCCCTCATCCTACATTTAAAAATTAAATTACCAAAAAGAATAAATTAGTACTGAAAATACTACATCTTCAAATCATATCCAAACACAAATTCAAACCATGTCACCATGCTACTTAAATATAAATTGAAGCAATTATGGAGTATAAACCAACAAACTAACTTCAATTTGATAAAACTCATTCTAATAATTAATTGAGAATGGTTAGAAAAGCATCCTTATGCTCCCTCATGAATGCCCTATTCTAGGTTACAATTCCTCTACAATTGCTCTACCTCTTCCAAGCAACCATATTCCTCAGATTTATAGTGCTATATATGGATCCTAACGCCAGACAAGGAGTGAAAAATAATACATACCTATGGTTAGGCTGCATTGGGAACGAATACTTGGTTAAAAAAGACAGAGAGAGAGAGGGAGAGAGAATGAATATTTACAAATAATGGTGTTTGTATATATAAATCAATTTTGAAAGAGTAAAATAACAGTTTTTTTTTTTTTTTTAGGAACCATAAAAAAAGAGATTTAATCTTATAAAAATTAAGCATATCTTGAATCTTGATTATCCAAACTAGTTCAATTAAGTGGCACAAAGCAAGGAATGGTAATTAGTTAAAATACCTAATTCTAAAAGATATAGTAGGATAAGGATATATTTTAGTTGATTCCATCAAAAGGATATATAGATTTTGTTGATTTTTTTTTTTTTAATTTTTTTGAGGAGTTGTTGATATTCATGTAGGATAAAAATATATTCCATTCGTCTTGAAATCACTTTACCTCAAATTAATTGTAATTTTTTTTATTTTTTAAAACTTTAAACTTTAACCTTATCATTATCTATTTTTTTAATTAATTATCCTATTACAAAAAAATCTTACTTTTTCTTTTAACTTTTTCTTAAGGGTAATATGGGTAAATATATGAACTATCTTCAAATCTTTAATTTAGAAAAAAAAAATAGTTATTTTGAACCACATGGAGTATATGACAAAATTAATATTTTTATTATTTTATTTTCTTAAGTAGTCTATATTTGTCATTATCCTTATCCTTGGTGTTTTTTTTAATATTATTATTAATGATAGTTTTTTTATATACATATATTCTACCATTAATGGTAGCTGTAGTATGGAGTTAATTAGGTGATGGAAAGATTACGGTGGTTTGGAGGATGTTTGGATTGAAGGGTTTTAGT